ATAATAGAGCAAGACACATTGGAATACCAGTTTAGAGACCTTTGACCATCATGAAACATGATGCAGCATTTTGTGGACTTATCTGTGGATTATTTTTTACCCAACAGATATGATTTATATTCTTATATTATTCTTTCTTGCTTTTAAATTTGAAAACAACCCAGAATCTTGTGAAATTGGATAACCTCTACACTGTAAAATTAAATTAATTAAATTAAGTTTTCCAACACAATCTAAGCTATTATGTTGCTAATAAGCCTGGAGCGGCAAACTTCTCAAATACTAATGGTCTGCTTTAGGAATACCTCCTTGTCTAGTTGCTGTGCATCATTTTGACTTTCCTTGTGAGAGAAACCAGATATATGGCTTCACTATTCTATTTCTTTTGGGGAATGTTCCCTGGAAAGGAAATATTCATTTTCTTTTTTTAAAAAATACTGAGTTTCATAAGGATATTATAGTTGATAGCATTAAATAATAAACAAGACTGGTGAGAATATTCATTTAATGGAAGGTTCCTATCCTCCCTTCCCAAAAAATGTATCTAAGTGTCCAAATTGGTAGATGGAGGACCATGTATGGTAGACAAGTAGCAACTGCTTACTCACATAGACATGTGTGTTTGATTAGAAACACCCACAAGATATCCTTGACTGGCTTTTCAGCTTCTATCCAGATTTATTGGCCTGCTTCTTCTGTCTGGTGCTCAGAACTAAATTTAGGGACATGAATTATTAGTGCGCAGTGCCCAGCTTGCATCATGCTTTGCTTTTAACAGCATAGAAGCCTGATAGCAGAGGAAAGTAGAGGAGGATGGAGAGAAAGGACAAGTACCCAAAGGATTGTGATTGCAGAAAAGTGAATTCTTCCTAGTAGAAGCACAAATTTTTACAAGGACACACATACAGAGATATTTATAGTGCAGCTATCAGAAAAAAAATAGAATTTATTTTAGCCTACCTTTATTATTTTTATAAATAACTCAAGGCAGTGAACATGCTCCTTCTTCCTCCTATTTTTCTCACAACAACCCCTGGATGGTTGAGCTGAAAAAGAGTCACCCAGCTGCCTTTCATGCCTAAAGAAAGACTAGAATTCACAGTCTCCTGGTTTCTAATCTTGTTCTTTAACTTGTTTAATTTTTTAGCATCTGGAAAGCAGAGGAAGAGAACTTTAAATCTAATGGGGACTAGGTCCTGTATCAGGCAAGTAATCCACTCCCATGTCAATGATACGGAACTGTGACAGTAACTCAGCATCCAAAACAAACAACATTTAGACAAACATTATTTTGTTAATAGATTCAGGCTATATGGCTGACTAATTCACAAATTTGAATTTAATCGGCTAACATCAGGTTACAGTAACAAAGACAGATACCGAACAAAAACTTACAACACATCAGCCCAGGGCTATTCTCCTACTTAACTGGTTAATACTTTTAAATATGGGCTCATTTAGTGCCTTGATCCAATGCTTGGAAGAGATTCATGGCCTTACAAAGCATCCTAGTTTGGGTGGGGAAGGACATCCTGTTTCTCAAAGCAGGGCTTGCAACAGAGAAGCATTTCTCCAAGATCCTATCTGATGATAGTAGAGACTTGAGCAACTTTGGCAGTCCTGCAAAAGTCAGGTTTCTTGGAACTGGCTTAATACTGCCTGCTTCCTAGAGATGTGAAAAAGTGATCAGTTCAAAGCCACCCACCTGGCTTCATATCTAAAATGGGACTAAAACTCATAGTCTCCTGAGTTCTAGCTTGGTGCCTTAAATGCTGCACCAAACTGGCTGTCCCATTCTATGTATAAACAAATGATGCACACCTTGTCTTACTGCTATGGTGGTCTACCATCCATCCATGATTGTCCTATATTTGGGGTCCTTTACCCATTCATACTTACTTCCATTGTGCTTGGAAACAAAGAAGTAGGTAGACAGGATAATTTAGGCTTCCTTCCAATGGCTGTTCAGGCTACCCACAGAAGGGAAATGTATCTGCCTCTACGACATTACTTACAGTTGCAAATGGTTCCCAATTTGCAAATACATAAACAAACAAAAAAAAAACCCTTGTAACTTCAACAACAGAAAATCAGGACCCGGTATGATAAAAGGATACAGCTGCAACATTGACTTATTTCTGGGAAGTTTAATCCTCTTTGTGAGAAGATTAGTATCCACATTTAGCACTATCAAAGGAAACATGATCAATGAAAATCTAGCATTACATCCATAGCAAAGTGGAATGTTGAACTTAGTTTTCCAGCATCTACAACTTGCATAAAGGTTTCGTTTTGCCAGGGGGAAAAAAGCAAAGAAATCAGTAGCTTCATAAGCAAAGATTCTCAGGCTATCACAGAACAGAAGAGAGATCTTAATTTCTGATTTTCTCAAATGAGGCCATGGTTAATGTGTACAGCTGGCTCTAACAAAGGATGCTGAAACTATTGTCAGTATCTTGCTTTCTAAGAAATAAATTGCTTGAGAGAAAATAATAGCTCAGACTCTTCCAGTTCAAAATGTACAGAATTGGTGGAGAGTAGAATCACTTTTGCTCAGGACGGTATAAAATCTAGAAAATGATATCACTTGAACAATGTCAGTAAAAGGTGTGAGCTTATTGAATATAATGTTAGAGCTTATTATATATAATGAAGCAACAATTTCTGAGGAAAAAAATATGTCTGATTGTTTGGAGTGGCGAAAAGAACAAGCACCTTTTGAACTGCTGGAGAATTTTAGTCTTTCTCAAAAGCATATCGAGGAAAAAAAATTCCACTTTCCAAACATATTCCATGTCACCATTCATAGCTAGCATGGAAAATTTTAGGTGTAATTTTAGGGATCCATTTTTAAATAGCATTTAAAATTGAAGAAGGAAGCAATGAATTCTTCCCATCTCTTTCTAGTCCTTCTTTCTTAACATCCTTAACCAGAAGGAATCAATAACGAAATTTTATTTCATGTCAATACAGTGATGGGATTCAAATTTTTTTACTACCAGTTCTGTGGGTATGACTTGGTGGGGGTGGCATGGCTTGGTGGAGGTGGCTTGGTGGGTGTGGCAGGGGAAGGATACTGTAAAATCTCCATTCCCTCCCCACTCCAGGGGAAGGATACTGTAAAATCTCCATTCCCTCCCGATCAGCTGGGACTTGGGAGGCAGAGAATAGATGGGGGCGGGGCCAGCCAGAGGTGGTATTTACTGGTTCTCTGAACTACTCAAAATTTCCACTACCAGTTCTCCAGAACTGATCAGAACCTGCTGAATACCACCTCTGGGTCAATACTTAATATTTTCCTATAGAATTTGCTTTTTAATGTATCTCAGCCTCATTCAAATTTTGAACACTTCCAGTTAAATAGACAAATAAAAAGAATACATTAAAGAAATGCAGGGTAGGATTACAACTTTGTTTCATCTTAACCTGGAGCTTTTGTGAAGGAATTAGCCCTAGGAAGCATCAATTAGTTTGTAAATGAAAAAAAAAACATGTCTGAAGTGCTGAAATTAAAATTAGTCTATTCAAGGGCTGTCAAACTCCTGGCCTATGAGCTGGATGCATCACATGTTGACCATGCCCATGCCTGGTTTAGCAAAGGGGGGAAAAGTCCCAATACATCACATGATGCAGCTGTGGCGATATGGGTTTGACACCTCTGGTCCATTCCTAAGATTTATATTATTGCTGGGAATCTTGAGGTGGTTGACGTCACAGTTAATCATGATGAAAGGGATAACATCCCATCACAAAATGAATAGTATTTCAATCAGTGGTGAGTTGCTCCCGGTTCAGTCTGGTTCTTGTGAACCAGTAGTAACGGCGGTGAGAGGCGCCGCTCACCCGCCCAGACGTCATCATGAACGATCTGTGCATGTGCAGAAGCTTCTGCGTGCATGCTCCCATTATGAACTGGTAGCGGAGGTAAGTAGAACCCACTCCTGATTTCAATGTCCTATTTCTATTTAGGGAGATAATTTTCATTGTTGTGTTTCTTGTATGGGCCCATGGTCAACCGCTACATCAGGTTTCCCTTCTTGATTTATACTAGTTGAAACCTATGATAAAGATTTGGCATTCAGATAACCCATTTGCAAATTTGCATTTACCCTGAAATCGTTTAATTTCAGCATATTAGAAATGTTACTTTTATTGGTTGGGACCGTGCAACATCTAATTTTTTTATACTGTCGGGAGATTTTCAGAATAAGTCTTTTAGATGAATTACTTTCTACAACTATATTTCTGGAAATGCAATAGGTTTAAACTATACACTTAAGTTGCAGTATTAGCACAACTTATAGGCCATGAGGAAAAAAAGTCACAAATGCCGAAACATTAGCAAAACCCAAAACTGTTTTTATTAAACTAATGAATGTTTAACTAGCAAATGTCAAATGCTTGCATAGTCTGTTTTAATAATAGATTACCATCTTTAACCTTGGCTACTTGTTTTATTATATGGGTAAGAAAAGTTTACTAGAGCAATATCTATTGAAGATTTGAATCTATGGCAGTGCACTGTAAACTCTGTCAGAGGTCAGTTGAAAGAAGTTTTAAAACAAATTTTTGGTTATGTTACAGCTCACAGTAATATGGTCAGACATTTCCACTACTTCTCTTTGCATTTAGAGTTCAGAATAAGTTAGGCTAAGCCCAAGAATGACATAGAACAATTTAGCCAAAGTTCAGCTTCCTATTTGCTTATGTACAATAGACAGAATCTTGCCAGACTAAACCCTTCTATTCTCACCATTATATATATATATATATATATATATATCTCCCCATTCCGATGGTGATGTCACAGTGGTGCAGTGCAAAAGATGGGGCTCCATTCTTTTTGCCCGATTTTTCATGTCTGGAGGCCCGTAGAGATGAAGTTGGATACTGGAGGGGCCAGCAATATAGAGGGGAAGCTCTGGGGATAACAGGGAGAGGAGCGATCCCCCCTGTTATAGCAAGGGGATCTGACACAAAAGAGAATGGTCTCAAGGAAGTAAAGAGAGGGAAGCAGCAGGAAGTAACGGTGGAGATCGATAAAGCAGAGTGAGATACCAGATTGATTCTCAGAGATTTTGAGACCTTCAAATTAGCAGACAAGTGAGTCTCCAAAATGGGGAAAGTGGCGATTTAGCAGTTGGAGCAGAGGCCTGGGAAGACGGATATTGATATTGACAGATCAAGAGGAGGAAGGGAATGAAGGTCTGAGCTGGTGTTTGTTGAAAAACTTTATGGGATTGAGCATTTGGATTGACACTGTGACTAGTTTCTCTAGCTTGGTACTTATAAAAAGTTTTTGTCAGTGACGGAGACATGGAGAAGTGGAAGTGGAGGTAAAGTGACAGTGACAGTGACTGTGCTAAACAGAGGGAAGGTGACATCTTAGAAACAAAGAGATGAAGAGCAGCTGATGCAATAATAATATTAATGAACAAAGAACTGTCTAATCATTTCTAAGCATTGGTGGATCCTAAGGACTAAATCTAAAATCAGTGATTCTAAAAGGAGATTATCCTACAACGTTTGGACAACAGAACTCACTTAAAAATAGTAAAAAATATAAATTAGACACAACTTTATAGGTGTTTTGTATATATGCCATTTACTTTCCTATTTATGTGTGTATAATTATCTGTATAAAAAGTTAGATTTGGAACTATATATATGAGTTGAAAACGGAATTATTCTTATTGGGCATATTAAGAGAAAATATATGTGAAAAACTTCAATATATTATACTCCATATAATAACCGCGGCCAGAATCGATTTAGCACAAAATTGAAAACAAGACAACACTCCTTCCGATGTAATGATAATATAAAAGGTACTTGAGTGTGCAGAGATGGATAGGTTACCTATGGAATTGAAAGATAGAGAAGAAACGGAATATTATAAGATTTGGAATATATGGTACAATTGGTTAGAAAATAGACGTAAAGGCCTCACATAAAGAGTGCGCAAGAGTTATATCAAAATGGGAAAATACTGTATATATCTGTAAATATTGTTACAATTTAAATGTAGAGAATTAAATGATTATATAATTTATAGAATAGCAATCTATGTAGCTAGAAAGTACGTTAATATAAGTGATACTGGAATGCTGTAATGAATGGAAATGTGGTGTTAAGGATGAAATATGTTTAATAAAAAATTATTTAAATATATATATTTAAATATTACATTTCCTGAGAAAATGTAAGGAGTGACTATTCTTAGTCTCTCCCTCTTTCTCTGTCTAGCTCTGGACTGGGCTGTCTTTTCTCTTCCCTATCTCTTCCCCTTTTTGGAATGTGCTCCCTCTTTCTAGGACAACTGTCTCTTTACTGTAGTCCACTCACTTTCTGTAGGCACCATCTCTCACAGAATAGCTTCTCATTATACTGTAGTCTGCAATGGATTCGGTGGATGACCTTGAGAAAGCAGAGAAAGAAATGCTACCTAGGAAACAATCAGACAAGAGAAGCAGGAGTCCTAGAGGCTTGACAGTCAGAGACAAACACTTGGGAAGGACCCACCCTAATTAAACATGATGATAGGAAGTTTATATTTTTAAATTTGCAAGATTCTGTTAATTAACCTCACAATAAAGTAGAATTTGTTCATCTAGATCTATTTCCTATCCGGTTTACTTCAAAGGGCTGATATATTCCTTTTCCCCATTTACAAGAATGGGAGGAGGTAGAACTGTTTGTGAAAGAGAAACATCTGGAAAGGAGAAACAGTTTAGAATGGTTGGGAAATTAATTATCTAATTAATTAATTAGATAATTAAACTCCAAACAGTACCAAAATGGGAGGGGAGGGGGGAAGGATATAATTGACGAAACTGTCGTGGTTGCGTAAAGAGCTGCCTGATAAACTGATGAAAAGGACAATATTTAAAAAACGGAAAGAGGAACATATAACAAAGGCATATAAAATATATCAGAAAATACTCTGAATCTGTAAGGATTGGATCAAGAAGGTTAAGCCTTAGAATAAACTGAGAGTTGCAATGAACGAGGAAAAAATAAAAATAAAAACCCAGTCCTTTGCTTCAAGGTAATCTCAGTTATGAAACAAGTTTTTCTCTCTTTTTTTATGATTTTCTCATTTTCTGAGCTTAAAACAGATTTTTATTTTTTGTTTCAGCAACTGCTATTGCATAATTTCTTGAAGTTCATCTCTGTGGCTCTCTACACTACCTTTTCTGTTGGATTCAGTCTCCTCTTCTGCAAACAAAGAAAACATTCAAATAGAGTCAGGACAATGAATTAAACATTCCCACTTTGGATTTCTTCAGAATCACTACAAAAATCTTGCAGCGCAGATGTAGAAGGAGAAGGCAGTTTGTCTCTCTCTTTCAACTGTTGTTTGGGACAACTCGTCCTACTCTCATCTGGCAGCTCCCCCAGACTACCATTTCCCCATTTGACTGCATGTTGGCTGGTTCTGGAGAGCCTTTATTGTTGAGTGTCATGGATTTCCTCTTTATCCTGAAATCCACAGTCATTTTGTAGTGGTAGTAGATCACATAGATGGGGCTTTCTTGATTAAACTGATATACAACTCTTAGGTGTACTAAAACACTATCTGGATTCAGAGAATGCATGGGAAAGCACAACAGTCACCTTCAAGTTCAGGTCAGATATGAACAACTTTTAGTTTAGTTACACCTAAATCCACCTCCCTCAAAATGTACATTTTCATTGCTCACCTGTGCTTTTTGTGTGTGTGTTTTGGAATTCTTAGGGTGTGTGTGTACATTTAAATAACAACAAAGCAAAATGTGATGGCAAAAAATTGAAGACCCCCTGACCATTTGGTCAGCCAATGGAGATTTTGGAACTGTAGATTTCTAGCTTTGGGAAAAGGGATTCCATGCTATTAGGAACTTGCGGAACTACAGTTCCAAATATGTTTAGATGGGACTGGGATTCGAATGCTTGTCTAATATTTTATTTATTTATTTATTTATTTTGTCAAGCATATATAAGATAACAGGTAAAAGTATAAACATAATTTGAATACATGAAAAGAGTAAGTAAAAAAGAATATTAGGACAAGGATGGTAGGCACGCTGGTGCATTTATGCACACCCCTTACAGACCTCTTAGGAATGAGGTCAGGTCAACAGTGGACAGTTTAAGGTTAAAGTTTTGGGGGTTTGGGGAAGAAACTACAGTCAGGTAGTGCATTCCAGGCATTGACCACTCTGTTGCTGAAGTCATATTTTCTGAAATCGAGTTTGGAGTGGTTTACCTTGAGTTTGTATCTATTATTTGCTTGTGTATTGTTGTGGTTGAAGCTGAAGTGGTCATTGACAGGTAGGACATTGTGGCAGATAATTTTATGTACTATGCTTAGGTCAGACTGAAGATGGTTGTAGTTCTAAGTTGTCTAAGCCCAAAATTTGGAGTCTGGTGGCATAAGGTATTTTATTGCTGGTAGAGGAATGGAGGACTCTTCTCATAAAATATCTCTGGACTTCCTCGATTGTATTTGTTTGATATGAAGTATGGATTCCAGATAGACGAGCTGTATTCAAGAATTGGTCTAGCAAATGTTTAAGCTAAAAGTTTGAGGAAAGTGTCCTAGATCAAGCCTTCAGAATATATGACCGCGTGGACTGCATGTACCCTGCCAAGTAATTTTATATGGCCTGCTGGCATTTTCAATTGTTCAATATATTCACTGCCACCAAATAGTGTCCCTTCCAGAAAAGAACCGCTGCCACTGCCCCAAAATATACACTTCTGGGCATTTCCAATGCCTCGAAGCCTCACCAGCACCACTTGTTTTGTGGCAGGCAATTTGCAGCCCATAATTATTTTTCATTTACCATACTGCCCCTTACACTCCCCAGGCCAATTCAAAAACAAAATTTAAAAAAGGGCTACATAAAACTGACTTAGTGTTTGTAGGAATGAAAGGTATTTTCTAGCAACACTAGAAAGAGAAGAATGAATTGTGTGTAGATTTCTATTCAGATAACCTTCACTGAGGGGATGGGCAAGCTGGCCATATACCTTTGAGAGGAAGGTCAGTAATGTGGCCCAGCTCTGTACATTGCTTATTACATATGCATAAGGATGACTTGGGCTACAGAAAAAAAGGAGCAAAAGGAAAAGACTTTTCTGAATAATGTAGTTTTGCATGCAACTGAACATTTCTGAAGATGTCAACACATCATTATTATGTTCTTGATGCTCTCATTGAGAAGACAAGTGCTATAGCATTCATTTGTATAATCTGCATACTGTATCTTTGCCAGCGTTAAAGATAGGAATTCAGCTGTACAGTTATGAGATGCAAATGCTCTGATTAGATCTATTCTTCTTTTGTTGTACAAACAGAAGATGTGAAACAGTTGCTGGGGAGTAAAACAAGACTTAAATTCTGCACTATGTTTCCTTGTTTATGGATAAAAAAACATTTGAATGCTTCGTTCAGAAAACTTTAGGTATCATTCATAGAACACTGTAGCTATCATGTTCCCTATAGAAAGATCATCTTGAGATAATTAAAGGTCAAAACCAGATAATTAAAAGTCATAACCTTGAATTGGACATGGAAGCATACTGGCAATCAGTTCAGCTTGCAGAGCAGAGATATAACATGTATTGTTCTAGAAATACAACTAACTCACCTCAGTGCTGCATTTTGCACAGCTAAAGTTTCCAGATACCCTCCAAGGATTGTTCCTGTAGCACTGATTATAGTAGTTCAGTTAGGAGGTGACTAGGTTGAAGAACCTTCAATACAGGAAGGGGTGCAATTGATACTCAATTTAAACTTGTGCAAAGGCCACCTTCTTCAAGCAGGAATTGTGAATCTAGGAGGACACCCAGATTGTGTACGAGGTCTATTTGAGGAGTCTAATCCCATTTATCACTAAAGATGGCATAATCCTAGAACCAAGGGACTCCAAAACCAAAACCCACTCAGATCTGTCACTCAAATTTGTGCAGGTGGCTGAGTTTACAATCATAAGAACCTTGTCCACTTCATTAGACCTAACAGGTTCAAACCATTTCTAGTGTTGTGGTCCACCAGCAGCCTATGGACCTGGCAGCAAAGTTGGACACTGAGGAGGCTGGGGAGGAACAGGGGCCAGTCCTGGAGTGTGGGGAAGGATTAGATGAGGGCTCTTTGTCAGAGGCAGAGATGGGGCCAGGGCCATCTGGGAGTTATGCAGAGTTATCCGGAGCCTCCAGAGTCAGACATCAGAGAGGCAGAGGAACAGGAGGAGCCTGTTCCTAGTGCATGCATGTGCAGAACTGCCAGAAGACAACAACAGTTCAAACAAAAGGGACGATTTGGGGGTAAGGCCTGGAGCCTCCCATAAGGCTTAAAAGAGGAGCAAAGGCACGTGGGCTCTTTGCAGGAAAGCAACGTTGTTAATTCTGTTCCCAGTTGGCATTTCTGTTTGATTCTGGACTCATTTGGCTTTGCCAAGTAGGTCTTTGGCAGCATGTCAAGCATGCAAATAATTGGGATTCAGCTGTGAATGAACGTAATTCACAGCTGTTGCAATAAAAGGGATTTTTGGGACTATTAGTGTGTTTTAATGACTCAGGAAGCCGAGGTCACAACATCCAGTTAATCAAGCAAGACCTTACCCCGGGAACCTCCCTGGGCTATGCAATAATGGCACCATCCAAATGTAAGCAAATTCAAGTGGCTTTGTCTGTCACAAACTGAACAAATTATTCTGCAAACCCTTGCAAGGGATTCTCCAAGCTCCAAGAGCATCCTGCCAAGGGGGCAGATGTCACCAAAAGCAGGGGCATCAGACAGCTAGCCACCATACAATAAGGACAGAGAAGTATTGATACTTCTTTGTTGTTACCATGACAAAATAGACCTTAGCAACAGATCTAATCCATGTTTGGTCAAGTTTGACCCCTGTGGAACACCAGCAATGCCCTAGTTGTCTCTTCTCTCTATCATATGGGTCAGTGAAACTTCATTTTTTTTTCACCTCCAGCAAAGAAAATCCAATATCCATTCTTTAAAAGACATTCTTTGGGGAATCCAGTACATGTCCAGTGCTTTCTTTGATGAATGAAATTTAATCTCAGACCTGTTGTGTCATTTTGACATTTTTAAGGGTATAAATCCATTGATGATGTTTTATCATAGATTACAGTTCTTTAGTTCATGCTTTAAATATCCCCCAAATGCTCTTTTTAAAAATATTCTTGAGCTTTTGATACAGATATGTTTTAGATTTTAATTCTGTCATGGTTGCCATCCAGTAAGAGAGCAACTCTAGTGTATTTGAGGTGGACACAGGATGTGGTCCTCATTGGTCCATTAAAACCTGCTAAAGTTAGCTCCATTGTTGTAAATTGGGAAAACGAAATTCAGTATGGAGATGGATAACGTTCTTAAAACAGTCATTATATAGCAGTTGATTTTAGATGATCACATCAGCTTTTACCCAAATGCTCCAGTATTGAATGATTCTGAACGGCATCCATTCCAACTTTCAGAAGTTGATATGACATAATCCTTCTATGACACACAGGTATAACACTAAGAACATTAAACAATTAAGCCAGCCAGCTTCAAAAGCTTTACTTTATTCAGGGCAATGGGTCTCCTGTCGATAGTGCTTCCACTCAAAATGATATACCTAGATTAAATGATAAAAAATATGCATAATTTTATATAGAATATTTATATATTTCCTTCATTTTAACTCTTTTATTATTGAAAAGGATAAAGAATAAATGTAATGGATTAGCAAGGAATAGAAAAAAAAGCCCCTATAATTAATGAAACAAGCTCCTGCAGAAATTCCTTCTAGAAATGAATTATTTGGGGGGGGAAACTGTTCTCCTTATTTTCTGTAACAAGTAACCAAATGGCAAGCATCTCTTTCTCTATGTGCTCTTCTACCTCTCTTCATTTTTTTTTTTATCAAAAGATTAGTTTTGCCCCCATTATCTCTCAGTAATTGGGGTTACTTAATTCTGGAATTCAAGTTTCCTAATATGATTAACAAGAACAGTTTCTTTTGGGCGATGAAAGCTTCAGTTCCAATTATTAGACAATATTAAACAGACTTCAGTTTCTAACCACATCCTTAGGGAAAGGACAGCATTCTCCTGACATGCAAAACTTGGTTACTGAATTAACCAATTTTTCCAGGTTTATACAATACAGTGAACCAAAGGGACTATGCTTACATAGTATACTCATCAGAGAGAGAGAGAGAGAGAGAGAGAGAGAGAGAGAGAGGGAGGGAGGGAGGGAGTGGGAGAGGGAGAGGGAAAGGGAAAGGGAGAGGGAGAGGGAGAGGGAGAGGGAGAGGGAGAGGGAGAGGGAGAGGGAGAGGAGAGGGAGAGGGAGAGGAAGAGGGAGGCAAACTAAACTTAACCAGTGAACACTAAGCTTCGCTGAATGTCTATGGAGTTTCTCAGTCATCCAGGTCATAGTTGTCTCAAAGGTGTTGTTCGAAAAGCAGCAGCACTATATTTTCCTTGATGAAGATGATGTTTCGCTTTTGATCTAAGGAGCTTCATCATTTGTCTTCCAATTCTCTACTTCTCATCCAAGAAGC